ACAACTGACGATAGAAATCTCATTTTGCGACTTTGGAAACAAATCCTGTGAGGTTTTGTTCTCAGGGAAAGTCATTTATGATCTTTACAAACAAACTAAACTTGTGCCCATAGAAGTAATAATTCAAGTATATTCTTGACGTGATGCGGTTAATACAAACAAAGTAAACTCCAATTGTTGTGTCATTAACACACCTTTTGTACCTGTCATGTTTCACCTTCTTGGCGGCAGTATATCGGCAGTCTGGATGTGACGCGGCCGAGCAGCAGAGTGGAGATTGTTGCTGCCATGAGACGGATCCGGGTGAGTGCTGAACCGGGGGGGGGGAAAATCAAAACAACAAAAAACTGTTTAATTCTGTGATTATTAATGTCGACGCTCTCCAGATATGTGCGTGGGTACAGCTTGGGATCTGCATTTGAAATAATTGGATGCAGTGTGGTCGTCAACTTTTGTGCTGAGCTGACTTTTGATCCTATTTTAACAAACTGTTGTTTGCATCAGTTTTTCCTCAGATTTTTTAGAAATATAATAAAATAGCACTCCAGTAATTTACAGTTTTACAGGAAAACCTTCCTTCCTGTGACCTCCAAACTGTATACTCCATCCTATTAGATAAACAGTTTGCACACTCAATTTTACAGCACATTCAATTTTAGTTTAGTGTATATACACTCTAATTTGGTGTCACGATTTAGGGGTAAATGGAAAGCAGTTTTAAACTTCAGTTTGTACTGAGTTTTTCCTCTCCTGCACCTCTCTTTTAAGAGGTTTCTGATGTAGCAATAGTTTATTTGCTTGAACAACTCATCTTGTTGCTTTTATAGTCCTACTCCACAGCACATTGAATCTTGCAAACAGTTCCAACCAGAAGCTGTTCTGAGTTCCACTTAAAGCATCACAAATATGACAAGTGGGACTTCTATCACTGTTTGAGAACTGCTGGATTTTGCTATTTAGAGCCAAGCAACTGGGCTGAGAATCGAAGTGTTGGTGTTTTAGTTTGTCTCTGCTGGTATGTCTTGAATAGAAAACATATTTATTAAGACATCTGCTATTCAATAAATGTATTACTTAATACTTCGAACCACATCCAGAATTAAAGAAAAGTTTAATGATGAAACATTGTGCATGACTAGATGTTTTTTAGTTGTAAACTAAATGTGCTCACTGTCTTGTGCTCGGCTTGCCTGGCAGGAGGTTTGGTCTCCCATGTGCTCCATCACTGTTCTGAAGGTTTCCTTTGAAGTTGTGCACTGGACTGTGATCTCCCTCCCTTCTCTCTCTTTCCTTTTTTTCCCTGCTCTCTGAAGCTATATTTTACAGCTTTCAATTCCAGGAAGTAGACTTAATCTTAATCAGGGCCAATTTGACTGCAGACTTTTTTTTTTTTTAAGCAAGCTGCTGTAGGTGAAGGCAGTGGTGTTGATGTTAAGGATTATGGCAAACCTCAGCTGTTTACTACGATTAATGGAGGATTCTTTCTAAACCTCATACGCATGTTCACACAAAGCCACATAAGCCACTTCTCCTCATATTTGCCCTTGTTTTTGTCTGAAGCAATATAGTGCAGAATGTACAGTGCCTCGCGAAAAGCATTTTTACCTCAATGCACTTTTACATTTTGTCACAATGCAATCCCAAAACTCTAAAGTATTGTACTGGGATTTTATGTGGCAAACCAGGTCAAATTAAGTGAAATAATGCTCAAGATAAAAAAAAAAAAAGATTATATTTAATATTGAGATGTGTGGTGTGCATTTTGTATTAAATCTCCCTGATTTAAGATGCCTTAACCCATCTTTTGCTGCAGCTGCAACTCTAGGTTTTTTGGGGGGTATGGCTCTACCATCGTTGCACATCTATAACTTAAAAATGTACAGTCATTCTTCTTTGCAAAACCACTCAGATGTTGTCAGATTGGATGGAGTATGTCTGTTAACAAATTGTGTTTAGGGTGGTGTTCAATTGTAGTTTCTTTTTGTAAACACAGTGCTTTCTATAATGGTCAAAAAAGTATTGCGTCCTTTTGTATATGGAACGACTTATTATGGAGTTCTCAAGAAATAGTTCTCCCATATACAAATGCTTCAACCTAAGGTGTGGACCTCTGTAGCTCCTTCTGACTGTATCACTGATCATTTCCAGTGTTCATTTGATGGATGAATAGCTCTTTGTGAGATCTACACAGAACACACATGATACAACCCCAATGAAATACATTAACAGTTCGCGGCTTAAGCCTAAGAATGCTTAGGTGCCGCCTGGAAGAACATTTTACTTCTCTACTAGAAGCAGCGAGCTGCTTATATGAAGCAGACCTCCAAGTGTGCTGCCATAGCAGCATTTGCTGGTTCTGTTGTTGTTGGCAGGAAAATAGGCCTCGGTCTGGCCCTTCCTGCGTGAAAATGGTTTGACACTGGCCTGACAACACAATGGAAGGAAGCCACAGGTATCTAACTCGGAGAGGAAGTCGAAATGGAAATCTTGAGAGAAGTGGGGAAGCCATGATGACGTTTGTAAGCTAGACAGATTTTTGGCATTTATCTAGTGACTTGACAAAGACTCTTGGTTTAGTTTTTTTTGCAAGGAAAGAATACTAATTTATTGTCAGTATCTTTAATGATGTTTTCCTATATATTTCTTGTCCTGAGCAACTGATAGGCATAAACATTTTTTGCTTACTTATACTATATTTATACTTACTTATACCTAATTTGACTTTTGATGGACTTTTATAATTTATGATTCAAAAAGGGTGGCAGTTAACTGTTTACATAGGGCTCGGTTGATCCCTCTGTGCCCCAAAATTACACATTAAATTAAATTATATGCAAACCAACTATTCTCTTTTACTCAGGTCATTTTTGCTGGTAATGAAAACTATTTGATGATATAAAAAATATAACATAAGAAAAAAAATATGTGAGAAATAGGATGCAAGTTCTCGACTGTTAATTTGAAGTTGATCCTAACTTTCCATAACACAGAGGGCTGTATTTCTTATTTTATTTTCATTTTTCATTAAATGTTGAATTTAATTTTATATTTTAACAACTTTTCTGTGTCAGCTGTATTAAATCACATTGTCTTTTTTTCTCAAATTATTAAACTTCCACTTATTTATAAAACATAACAAAACAGGAACCCATTAGGTTTCTGAATAGAAAGACAAAAAGAATAAAACATGTGAAACACTTAATTCCCCATGAACAGAGTGATGTTCATATATTATTTTTGATGAGGATGGCAGAGTTTCTTTCTATAATTCATCTGTCTTGCAGATCTTCCATAAAGCAAGATAATCAATTTATTCATGATTCAACACAGTGGAAAAGGGATTAATTTATGGTATGGTTTGTTTTACTTGTGTTTTTCACTTGATAAATGAAATCATTTGAAAACTGGTTTTGGTAGCTGCTTTGGCTGTTTTCTAGAAATAGGCATGATTTGCAATAAAAATCACTTAACACGCTTAAGAATATGGTCTTATGTTATACATTTTCACCTCTTATAAGACTGCTATTTCAGACAAGATTTCTACAACACATCTATTTAGTGCAACACACAACTGTAACGGCAGTGACATCTTTCCAGGCCCTAATGTTGGAGCAGTGATATTGATAAGCTAATACATGTACACAATCAAAGTGTCAGCATTTTTATTTATTTATTTTTTTTTCCACCATTTGCTTCAGGCTCATTTTGCAGTTTAATTTATCAATCTTATTTCTGATAGCCTCATATTAGTCCGAGATTAAAGTTTATTCATGTAAGATTATGAATTTGACTTGTCACCTTGTACTGGCGCCAAGTCGTTCATGTAGTGCACTCATGGACAGCTGTAAAACCTGGTTAAATTTAATGAGATGACAACTGATGCAAAGAGACATCACTACTGGCTTGTGGTTATATCGTTCAGCAAGCTTGTTTTTGACAATATATACTTTTAAAATAAAATACGTGATTTTTTTTTCTATATCTCTAACTGCCTTTGTGTCAGTAAACTCTGAGTCATGCAGGCTTGCTGGAAACATTTCAACGTTTGCCGTCATTGTTCATTCTGTGCATTAGTCAGCTGTGAACCAGTAGCTGATAATGAATTAAGGAGACAGCAAAGCAGGAAATGGCAACAAACTGCACACTACTGCAGGAAATTTAGCAGGATCAGATTAAATCCCATTTCTCTCAGATGTAGATTTTGTAGAGTTTCAAACTCTAATCATTAAAGAAACCATCACAATTCTGTCTTATGTTTCTTTTTATCTTGAAAGAACTTTCAGATGAAGATCTTTTCTTACAGAAATATCTTTGTAAATTACATTTATTATTATCATCATTATCTGGCAAAGAGCAAAGGCATCTTAACTGGTTAAAAGAATGGGAGACCTTTACAGTGAATTAAAGGGATTAATTTCTCATTAATCTGTCTCTGCTGGGTTAACTGTATGTAGGAAGATTGAGCAGCGTGGGGTGAGAAGATTAGATTTGTCTGAAGATTTGTGAGTGGAGACTGCCAGAGCACAGCAGTGTTGCTCGGCCTGAGATGTGAGAGATAAACGGCAATTTGTGCATCTTCCTCTCTGCCAGACTGAACTGGCACCTTTCTGAGTTCACATTTATAAGAAACAGAAGAAAAACGAAACTTGGTGAAAGTCACAAAAAGTTTACATGAACTGCCATATTTGTTCTGGTGGGAAGAAGTGGAGCTCATTATAAAAAGACTCAGACAAATTGTATTCATCAGTTTGGAGTAAATTATACTACAGCATGACAAACTGTCCAGGCTATGATAGAGATGCTGTATCAGATAAAAATGGCAAAACCATAAACATTCATTTTAGAAAGTACAGTTACATAAGACAGCTCAGCTAATCCATGCCATGAACTAATTAGATGGTTGTTAGTCTTTATAAGGCAGCCACCTCGCTACCCTCCACATTTACAGCAATTGTGTGCACAGCACATTGACTCCAATTTAGATTCATATGCTGATTGTAAAAAATTCTCACTCACACAGATATTTTTTTAAAAACGGTGGTGCAAACTCAGGCATAATTTGAGAGCAACTGAATCATGCGATTTTGTTTGGCATGGATCATGTTGTGGTATCAATGTGTGCCGTGGGTTTAGAGTATCAAAACCATAACTGCGTTCAAATATTTTTAATAAATTCCTCATAAATTGATATCATAGACTGAGTCTAGAGAAAGGATCAGCGTTTTCTCTGGTCATATGAAGCCAATTGATGCCCCCATCCCCCACATGTTGCTGCCTTCTGTCAGTAAGCATTCTGAAGAAAG